GGAAAGAGAAATGATTGTGACTGGGTTCTATCATCTTCTCTCCAGCTTTAACCCCCTATGAAAACTTAATTTGTTGTCTTTGTTAAAGCATTGAATCTTAGAGTCAAGTTCATAGCAAATGAGTACGGAATATGGAACATTCCGAGCTTATTTTTTGTAAGTACTCATAAATTTGGTGATTTGCCAGGCCAACCAAACTCATATAAGTTAGCTGGCATTAATATTTAGCCATGAAAGCAGCTTCTGAGCTCAAAAGCTCTGTTAGCTTGCTGTATTATTATAAGTTCCAAACAAGCAGTGGGGTATTCCAGCTCATATCCTTGCATTAAAGCATAAATGACAACTAAACAACACCTGATTCCATCTACCTAGAATAAAACAGACATTACAAATTAATTAACTAATAGTTGTCCATAAATTAATAAAAAAATGCAAACTTTCTTTTCAGAAAATTAAAAAACAATAATAAAAAAAAATCTTTATAATAAACTTGATAACACTAATTCATCTTCGTTAGTGATTATCATTATTCGGAGTAGAAGGAAAGATAGAATTCACACACGAGCAACTTCCATTTACAACAGACCAGAATCAACTGAGAAGAGAAAGGTAGACCAAAAGCAAATGCAGAAGCACGAGAGAGTGATCCAAAAAGAGAGTCAGAGAGCTCAGCAGCAGCTTTCCTGTATTTATTTCTGATCCTGCAATCTTTCTTTTCTATCAAGAAGCCCTATAAGATAAGAGACATATTTATTTAGCTGTGAACAAACGAATTTAGAAATATGAATGTAGACAGAAAGAGCTGCATTAAGGTATTTATTTTTTACTTAAAATTGATGCAAAGATAAGAAATTTTAAAACCAGTAACCAGGGGCAGCTGACCAACAGCTGATAGACAGATTACAGACTCCATGCGGCTTTGTCTTTTATTGTTTTTATTTTTTTTAAAATTTTTTTTATATCATTTTAAAGTCGGGAAATTAACATAAATATACCACTTTCAATATTTATATTTAACGAATTTAATGATTTTCAATTAATAGTCTGGTTACTCAACTCTCTCCTCCAAGATGGGAGCCATGGCCTCCAAATCCACGAAATTATTTACTCACTATTTATCAACTACGCAATAATTTACCCAACCAAATGGAGTGCACGGTGAGTGTACACGTATGTACTCCAAGAAGATTGGATTGAACAAGAACACAGATGCTGTTACTATAAAAATCTATTCAGCAATTAGTATTTCTGAGAAAAAAAATGAAATTATTGAATTAAAACAGAGTTAATTGATCGCTCACGATCAGAAATCTAAGAATGCATGCAGAACTCAAAAAAGCAATTCCCTAACAATGATAAAAGATGGTGAAGTACAGAGAAGCGAAGAGGTTTCTGAGATCTCTTAAAACGAAGCGGAAAAACATTTAACTCCACTTTGAAAACACATATAAAGAGGAATATAAATCAAATATGAATATTACAGGGATAAAAAAATATCGATCTTGTATACCAGAACTCATAAGAATTAAAGGCATTTCATAGTATAATAACAGTAGCATCACCATCATCATCGCAGACGAAAAAGAATGTGCGCGGTAAATGCACAATTACATGGGAAACAGAAGCAGACAATCAAGCAAGGCGTGATTCCTAATTCCAAAATCTCAACTTTTTATCTTCCTCACCGCGTGAGAGCTAATTCCAAAATCTCAACTTTTTATCTTCCTCACCCTCAGTTACTGGTCGGTCTCCCGCCGTGATTCTCTCCGGCAAGCATTCCGGCGGAACCTCAAACAAAGACATCGAAAGTCGCTTATGCGCAAGTCCGATATCAAAGAGAATGACGCCTGAGAAGGGATCGGTGACAACGATCCCCCGCACGGGAAGCCATAAGAAGAGCTCCTCTTGCTTCAGCCCCACCACACCGCGCAGAGCGCCGTAGCTAAGATTGCCACGCACCACGCTGTCGAAGAACGCCGGGCTGTCATACTTAGTGTAACAGGGTTGGTCGAGTCGCACCTCTAGAAGGCCTGTGGTGGGATCGAGAAAGAACGAGTTGATATTCTTCGGGATAACGCCAGCAGGAAGGCCGTGCTGGCGGAGGAGTTCGTGGATGGAATTGCTGGATGCAGCGAAGTTGAAGAAGATGAGAGAGGCAATAAGGGGGGGAAGAAACATGGGGTAGTAGAGCTTCGACATTGGAGAAAGGTTTAAGGGAACGAAGAAATAAATTAAAAAAAGGTGGGATTTTTAGGTTTATAAGCAGAGAGGACGAAGGTTTTTGGTTTTGTGTTCAAAATTAGGAGGAGAAAAAAATAGAAACTGGGGCCTAGTTGGGCGTAATTAACGGAAATACCTTTGGAGGAGGAATAACAGGAAAAGTGCATCAATTTACATCGACAGCACTCGAAATTTTGCTATTTACAAAACTAATACATAGATACATTTGTTTTAATTGATTTATTATATGAAATGGTTTGGATATTCCTATTATAAATCTATAATGGAATCAAAGATTTTTATTTTGGAGAAATCTTTGTTACTATATAAAACATAACATTTGAAGGTTTTAGAGACATAAATTTCATATTGTGTTCAAAACCTCACAAATCCTACGCTTTTGCAAATGAGGATTGATACGTCACCAACAAATTTTTGTTATCCAGCACGAATCTCAAGGCATGACGTGAATCTCTAAATAATATCTTGAGCAATTAACATTCAAATATCAATTAAAGGTCATCCAGAGCTCCGATTTCATCATACTTAAAGTCAAACTGACCGGCTCAATAAGACGGATCTAATGATATCAAAGTTAGTCCAATCCAAGTCAAATCAAGTCCGGATCAAGTCGTTGAACAACTCTTGGAAGATCTTCAAGCATATTTAGAAGGTAAAACGGATGTCGAAGCTGGCAAATTTATAGTCGAATAGAGCGTCTCAACAAGACGAATCCAACGAGACCAAGATTGTGCAATTCCGACATCGTTAAGACATTCAAATGTCCATTAAACATTGTTTGATCAGAGAAAGTTCTATGAATCGTCTGATCAAATTGATTCATATTCATGCATTAATGACACATAGAACACTATAAATAAACCCCCACCCCTCACATGAGGGGCGGGGGGTTGGAAACTTCAGAGAGTGGAAGCTCTAAGAAGGAGCTGAAGTCTAGCACCATCCCGACATTCGGCGACCACCCGCCGACACTCGTCGATCGTCGTCAACCACTATGGACCGTCACTGTCAATCATCACCAATCATTGTCGATCACCACCAATTAGACATCGTCAGCCATCGCCGTGGGACATGAGCTCATAACTACAATTCATGAGTCAACAACTATCTACGTGGTTCACAACTCAAGCAGCTTCCGACTCCGGCCCTGGCGGCCTACGGACGTTATTCATACTCACCACTACAACCTATGTGGTCCACAGCTCCCGTAACTGCTTACAACAATTTCTTTGACCAATCAACACTTCTGGAGCAGCCATCTACAACACTCACGATGGACTACTACCTTCAAAACAATTAATAATGACCCTTGCAACATGCTATCACCAAGAACTGAAACTAGATTATAGTTATACAACTTTGTAATTTCATCTTCCCTAATTTAGGAGAAGAATTGACCTATGCACTCATCATTCATAGTGAATTATTTCAACTGGGCTAGACTTCGTGGTTTTTCCCCTTTTCAAGGGTTTTCCACGTAAAAAGTCGAGGTATCTCCTCCTGCTCACTTCTCTTCTGTTATTTGTGTGTGCTGAATTCTCATGCAACGCTAAGAGGATAATCTATTACTCTACCGCCGCGAATTTTCTGGCACGCATCAAAGAGAATCAATATTTAATATAGATAATTAATAATCACTTATTTAATTCATTTTTAATTGTAGTTAATGGAAGGTATGAAAATACGGATTCAATCAAAACATGTGGGAGAATCCAAGTTAATCAATAGTCATAATCAGCAGGTCAACTGCTACTTGCTTTAGTTGATTAAGTTTGTTTTGGTCGATCAACAAGCAACAACCTTGATTTTTTACGAGGGCTATTGTCAAAATATGATAATCTATATGATTTAATTGTAATGTAGTTTTTCTTCAAATTTCTACAGATTTTGGCGCAACTTTGATGTTCTTATTAACACTTGGTGCTTCCCAAGTCGTCTATTATGATTTCGATGTAACTTTAATGTTTATAAATATTTTTTTATATTCTTCTTATTTTAATGTTATTTTTCTTTGATAAAATTTATTATCAATCATATGACTGGCTAAGTTGTAACTATCCACTATAAGTTATAAGTTCATAAGTATAAAATAAACTATTGTCCCACAAATGTGAAAGAGTTAAAATATTTCTCCAAGCTCAATGATTGTATACTGAATGATTCACTATACAAGGATCGAAAGCAGTTGTTAAAAGTTAACGCCGGATTTTTGATATACCGTGATCAAGATACATCGTAGCATAGTATTTAGAACATTGTGTTTCTCCGTATGTGAAAAACTTAATCACTCAATAGAGTACTTTGTTACTTTGCAATATGTGTCGTTACTCATTAGGGCACTTCTTTACTCTATGATGTGTGTCATTACTCCATATAATCCACCTACATTAGCGACAAGAGGCGACCGATTGTTACGAAGGTCAGGAGTTGTCAAGTCTTCAGTCAACAATAACACTGAAAACGGTCTCCTTCTAGTCCTTCCTTTTACCCCTTCCAAGTGAAGAGATGGGGGCTATTTTTAGGCCCTACATGATGGGCATTTTAGTACGTCAACGATTAACCACCATAATTATTTGATTGAATGACCCACATTGATTAAGCTTAATCATAGACAATTTTTTGATGATTTGATGACTTCAATGACTTCAACATTAATGATATTAGGCTTGTTGGATTCCTCTCGTCAAAGTGTTTAATTTAATTATAGACATGTTAAATTTTGAGCTCATTTGATCTTCCAATTAACCTCGTACAACCTTCAAAACTAGTTTAACAGCTTGATTCAGGCTTGACTCGACTCAGATTGAATTACTTTTGATATCATTGGCTTTGTCTTGTAGAGCCTGTTAGTTTTATTATAAATTTGTTGAAATCAGAATTATGAATAATTTTTAATTTGAGTTTGAATATTTATTTTTTAAAATTGTTGAGATATGTGCCGAATACTTTTGAGATTCATGCCCAAAAATAAAATTTGATGATGACCTAATCACAAACATTTTAAGGTGATAATAAGAAAATTTTATTAGAAAATTTTATTAATGCGAAGAAAGAGATCAATAAATGAATGATAGTAAGAGTTGTAAGAATAATTTTGTACATGCCCGTTCAAAATTATTAAAAGAATAATAAGTTTTATTGGAGCATACAGCCGCATGACTACATGCAATGGCGAATTCAAATAAATAATGATAAAATTAGCATGCATAATTTAGGATTTAGATGTGTTAAAGGTCGATCTGGATGGCATGCTGCTCATGTTCGGTGTATGTCTCCTTAACTTTTGAAAAGTATGCCGTACATTACCCTTTCTATATTAAATTTACTAATTAGTAGCACTTCTCTTAATCTTATGGAGGTCTTATTTTTTTATATTTTATGATATATA